AGCGGAAGAAGTGGTACAGATAAGACCAATTTACTAGCAAACCTTGTTCTTGGAGTAAATGTGAACATATATATAAAAGACAAAAAGGAGGATCCAGATATATTAGATGCGATAATTTGATAGTTTGCGGTTACCATTCTGATGAGCCGAAATGGGCATTCGTTAGATATATGTATAGAATAATAGCAAGTAATCCCAAAGCACCTTATTATGAGAATATTAGATTCAACTACATATCACTAGAACAAATTCCTAATGTGAAATCATTTTCACCAGAGAGGAGTACCGTAATCATTTTTGAGGATGTATGTGTTGCTCCTGAATCTATCCAAAATCGAATAATTCTATTTTTTACACATGGACGTCATTGAAATATTTCTCCATGCATGTTACTCAGAAGTACCATCATGTACCAATTATTATTCGTGAGAATATCTCCTTTCTAGTAATATATAATGGGGGAAGCAGTTATCAAGATGTGTCCAAGATAGCTGGCCGATATACTGATGATGTAAAGAGCGCATCCATGATTATTAATAGCTATCTCCGTAAAGGTGAGTTTGTTGTTTTTGATCTCACCAGGCCGGAGGATGATCCTCTTGCAATTCGACTAAAGTTTAATACTCCATTAAACCTGCAGAAAGAGATAGAGGTGAGGCAGAAGCATAAGGAAAAAAGTGCCTCAGTTAATAAATAGAATTGGTCAAATTGTAGATCGAAGCACCAGAGCCAAGATGATTTGTTTGTTCACAAACTTCTAGTAGATAAAAAAATATTAATATTATCGATATTAGAATCGATTAGTTAGATTAGTTAAACAATTGTAATTTCTGTTCCGTCTTTCAATCTTAATACAGTATCTTTTGGTAGATTAAGATAAGATGGTAGTAAATTAATTTGTTTTGCAAAAAGAGACGAGATAAATAATTTGTTTGTATTTCCCTTCCCGGGTTTATTAGTATTAATTAAGCCAGGTGCACTTACACTACATTGTATAGGAGGAGTGGCTACCTTGGAACTAGTCAATGAATATGATTTATCTAGTTCCAAAGGGACCTCTTCAGTCTTAGCTTTGAAACAAGAGCAATTTCAATGATTCTTTATCAAATCTTCAGACTCGACTTCATAGCTCCATCTGCGATATCCATCAAAATACACTTTTCTTGATTTTATTTCAGTGATCTTTACTAATTTCCAGCAATCGAAACAAATAGCCATTTCACTCTTGTGAACTCTAGGCCTGCGATATTTATATGGAATATCTATTAACTCACCATTGACATGGCTGTAATACGCTTTGGTTATTCCTTCTCCAAATAAGGCAAAGAGACAGAATACATAATAAACACTATATTCTCACTTAGAAAGCAGTTCTTGCAAAGGGGCTCTTATACGAGTAGCCCATTGCTGGGGTGTTTTATGAGGTCTAATAATGGATAAATAATCATATTGTTTTTCTATTTCAATCACTTTTTATAGCGATAGTCATCGGTTTGAGGTCGATAGTTAAAAACATGTTCCATATCATAGCCAGGACGGAGATTGTTAGGTTTAGGTACTCTTTTATTATAAATATCATCTATTATAATTTTAACCATATCACCAGGCATATTTAGTAAATGATATTATTTTTAGCGATTTATAGCGATTTATAGAGATTTATAGTAATTTGTAACAAGTATACTATAATAAATATCAGATTCATTTTTCTACTTGTGACGGGGGTAGATAAATAAAAATTAATATAAAATATATTCACATATGTGTAAACAATTTGTTTACGCTGATCACTTAATTGTGATCTCAAGAATAGCATTAGGAAAACAGTAGACAACTAGTCATTTTCATTATTTTTTTACCGACTAACTCAGCACTTTATTGATATAAAAAATATAAAAATATATTACATTTCTATAAATCTGAAAACAGATCTTCTGCTCTCAACCCATACCTAGCACGTACCAAAGAAATATGACCTCTTCTACAATCTGTCGATGAAGAAGAAATTGTTATTTGCTTTTTTTTCAGTTTAAAAAACATATTTCGGGAATTCAATCCTTGAGCATCATTGAAATTTTGATGTTTAATGAAAAGAACATCATCCCCATCAGTATTTCTTTCAATCTCATCCTCCAAATCATTATATACGTCAACAAATTTTCGTAGATTATGAAAAAAGGTATCATATACAAAGTACACGATACTATGGCGAATATCTTTTGTAAGTGGGAAGTTGCCGTGGAGTAGAAGACGCGAGGAAAATGCCACAACTTGTCCAGGCTGAAGCGGTATAACGATCTGGAGTTGAGAGAAGTATAATTCTCCTCCTTCAAATTCTCTGAGGGCGACCAAACAGCATAAACTATTTGGTTCGTCATATTCATCCTAATGGTAATCGCTAGTTGTATTGTAATTAATAGCGATCATCAGGAAGATTCCAAAAGGTCAAGGTGCAAAGGGACTCCACACTAACTTCTCTAGTTTTTCATATAAATTTCTATAGAATTTTTGTACAAATTCATTGACAGAGGTTGATAATAGACCAAGATTGCGAAATAAAGTGTTAATGCATTCTTAGTGTGCAGTATTATGAGAGCTTGCGGTATTCGAACTAGTGAATGGGAGGAGGTTGTTTCATGTATATGCACCAAAATGTTCTATAAAATTCTTCCAGAATTCACTACTACGATAGGAGGGATTATTTAAGGTATGAAAGTAATAATTGTTTATGGCATTAGTTGCTTGCACGACTGCCCCTAGGTTATTGAGTAATGCCAGATATATTAAGGTTCGGCCATCTGCATCAGTAACACATTCTGGCTTTACAATATACCGAAACTGCACTAATCCTTTTAGTGATCGAAGATTACCACGTGCAGAAATTATTATTTAGGCTTTTTCTTTCTGAGAGATATATGAAGCTACTAAAGAATCTTTATAATTTCGAAATTCTATAGCATGTTTAAGTTTTTTCCATTTACGTCGAAGATGTTGCCGCATATTTCTTCTTGTAAGTGGTTCTTCCATCCCCAACCATTGTCTAAGAGAAAGCCATAATTGTTCATTCAGATCTTTGGTTTTTGACTTAATACAATCGGCTTTAATTATTTCATTATTAATAAGCATTAGAAAATCGGGTGAGATCTCAGGTGACTTAATATTATTTACTACTATAGCTTCTCGAATTAATGTTTCTATTAATAATTCTTCCGCTGAAACCTTTTCTTGGCTCTTCACTCCTTTTAACGACACTATGCAATCAGACGGACAAAGAGAGACACTTTTTCACTCTTTTTCGATATAAAATATTTTGTCTTGTATACATAATCCCGAGTCGCATGTTGGGTTCGATGCTAATAATTAATATCACAAAAAATAAAATTATTATTAAGCATATTAATAGGTTTAGATAAGTTTTTTAGGTCCACCCTCTTCTGCCTAATATTTTTGCGGACTGGCCAACCACCCTAACTAATTATTGGGTTATTAAAATAATAACTGTGTGTCTGTTGAACCACAAATATACACAGTAGAGGCCCTATCATTCCAATAGTAGAAATGAAATTTTTTACGTAACTGAGTATATTCAATAATAGCTTGGAAAGGTCGACTGATCAACACAAAAACAATCCTAGCAGTTAGGAAAGATCTTGATAATTATAAATAATATCTACCCGGTTCAGATCAAAAGTAATATCATTAATCGTTAATGCTATAGTTGGTGTGGTAGATAAATTATGACCTATTGGTGGGTTTGAAATTTGTTCTTTTTCAAGCCTACGTTTTTTATTATAACGAGCGTGATATGATAACTTTTTGACTGGTTTCTCTTGGAATATGTCAATAAGGTCAGAAATTTCATTTTTACGTTTCTCAATAGATGCTTGCATTGTTTATAAGATTTTAAAAAACATTCTCGATATGTTGCTAACGGGTGAAAATTTTTAGCAATATATAGTGAAGCTTACAATATTATGAAAAATAAATTATGGGCGTCTATATTGAGGTATAACCCTTTTATTAGAAAATGAGATTATATCTTTAGATATATTTTCTCCTAACACGTGTCAATCTATAAATTTGCCAAATATTTTATCAACATACATAACTCGGCAATTTAATATTTACAATAATTCACCATAGCAGTACTAGCAAACAATCGCATATCGCATCACAATAATTTAACATGATAATTATTATCGCTTAGAGACCACGGACAGATGTGATCACATAATAGACACATAAAATGCGACTAATTTTTACTATATTTAGGTAGTTTATGCTGCATTATGCGATGAATTTTAAGTGAATAATATTTGCATAATTTGTAATTATCACAATAGTAATTTGTGATCACACAATCATCTTTGTTGTAATTGTTATGATATCACTGATATCAAATTATCGAATAAAGATTTTGAACGTTAGTAATTATTAAAATATCAGTATTTAAGTATTTAGAACGTTATAATTTTTTTTTTAATTTTTAATGATGGGAAAAACCAAATTTACCGCCTTAGAACGTATAAACTCAAATGACTATAAAGAAGATTTTTACGAATCAAATAATAAAATGTTTTGTATCGCTCGCAAAACAGTTGTTAATCATGCCTAAAAATCAGTAATTGATAATCACCTTAATTCGGCATCACATAAAAATAAAAAAAGTGTTATAGAAGCATCTTCAAGTAATATAATAAAACAAGATATTAATATAACATTGGCCAAAGCATTCGCCGAAGCTGATATCCCACTAGAAAAAATTAATAAATTGCAATCATTTTTTAAAGAATATTGCATTGAAGGTAAATTAAATTAATATATTATAACACATATATTATTTTTTTATAATTCGGCAATCCTGCCCTTGTTTATTTGGGATCAAGTTATTCAAAATTACAAGTAATTTACAAGTGATTTATCTCTAACTAAAGTAGATCCAACCAAACAAAGAACTCACCTACATGATTTTATACACCAGGTGTGACCTGCCTCAGTAGTCCTTGGCCTCCCTCCAGATCCTTAACTCACTAAGGATTTATTTCCCTTTGGTCATTGGCTGGTGACTACCCGCCTTGTCAGTACTACCTAATTATATATATATTCCACAACGTAATTGCGTTTTGGCCGTGACCAGTACTTGCGAACAATGCAAAGCATCGAATCGCTAATCTTAAAATAAGATTATTACGTTGTGTATTTTCTATTCTATACATTTTAACTATTTTGCTACTACTTAATACTTCTTGTGATCTTCTATAATTACCCCACCTCATCGTTTTATCCTTCATTTCCTTATTTTCTACTGGTAGTCTGCTCTGGCACTTTAGTCTTCTATTTTCCTTCTTCTTTTTGTATTTCTTCCAGTTTTTGAGATTCATCTTACTCTTCTTACTCTTGATAAAATTCTTTATACAGGTTTTCTTTATAAGTTTCTATTTGTAGCCCTTTTCTTCTTCTAGTTCCTTCCATATCACTTTGGATTCTTCTACTTCTAGAACTTGATTAGCTTGTTTGGGTCCTTCTTTACTTCTCTGTTGGAACTTTGTGCTTTCTTTTTTTCTTCTACTCCATAGTTCTGCATTTCTTCTAATAAGTATCTTTCGAGATCTATTATACTTTTCTTTACTTTTTGGTCTTTCTAAAAATCTTTCTACTGTTTCAAACGAGAAGTTTTTCTTTTTCTTCTTCCAGTTCTTGACTGTTCGAAACTGCATATCTGCTTTCTCTTTTCTATTCTATAAGCTTGCTTTTCTTCTATGTGGCTTCTTTTGCAGTTTAACATACTTCTCTTGATTTTTGGCTACTTCTCTTATAATTCTTCTTGCTATTCTAAACCTGATGTCTTTCTTTTTTCTTTTTCAATTCTTGACTTCTAATGTTCTTCCTGTTACTGCCTCTTGTATGATATTTTCTTCATTTGTATTGGTGTTCATCACTGATTTAATTCGTCTATTCCATTCAACCAAGGTTTCTTTCTTTTTCTTTTTCCAGTCTTTAATATTATCTTGCCTACTTTCTAAGTTTACTTGATATATAAACTCTACTATCCACTTTAGTATTTTTCTTCATGGGTTTTTAAATTGTATATCGCTGGAATTTTCCTTTTTTATTAAGTTTGTTATCCAAATTCTTGGTCTTGATTCTTTGGTTAGTTTGTTTAAAGTTTTCTTTTCTGTAAGGCCTTCAACGTCTTTTCCTGTGTTTCTTTTCTTCAATATTTTTTCATTTTCTTTGGCTTCTTTATGATTTTGTTTTAGCAGCTTTGTTTTCTGTTGAACTTGCATCTTCTTTATTTCCTTTCTAATTGTATTTTTCTTTTTCCTTTCGTGTTGTTTTATTTCCATTAATTCTATTGATTCTCTAAAGTGCTGTAATAATAGTCCTAAATTTATTTTGTTATGCTGCCTTTGTCGGCACTTTCTCTGTTTATCTAGTCTTTTCATCCATCCTGCTTCTATTCTAGCTTGTGTGTACTCGGCGGCCATTTTTTCTTTATTACGTGCAAACAGCCTCTCTCTTTCTGCTGCACATAGGTTTCTTATAGTACTGGTTACTTCATCTAATAGAATATGTTCTGTTGGATCGATTTCTAACTGTATCGCCTCTTGATATAATGAATCATTTCTTTTACTGAGTGCAAGTTCTGTGTATTTAATTTTTTTTGCTCTATATTGTCTTAATTCTATATGTATTGCTGCTATTCGTTCTTCTGCTTGTTCTGCTGTTGTAGGTTTAGTTCTAGCATTTTCTATTGTATCTTGTTTCACATGACTAATTTGTTGTTTTGTTTGTATCTCTCTTTGTTTTCATTTGTCACGTGTTTCTTAATGTGTTTTCTTTGTTTATTCTTCATTACGTGTTGTGTATCTTGTGTGACAGTAACTGATCTGCATTACGGGGTCAAGGCCAATCCCCCCAAACGACTTGCAAAGAGCAAAATTATCGACGATTTTTCTAGTATTATTTTTAGTCTTCTTGCTTTTTCCTTAGAGCTGCAAGTCCTGTTTTCTATAGCCGTTTGTGTGTTTCTGTCATTTTTGTTGTTGTTTTGTTTTTGTATTTTTGTATACAGAGGATCAGCGGGGGGAGTTGATATGAAAAACTATTAGATATATTATTTTATATAAAATTTCTATATAATTAATAGTTTTTACACATATCTTTTGATCTAGTAATCTAAATTGAATAATTTTAGTACTATTAAATTTCTCTTATTAAGATAAATCTAATAATATTAAATTTATCTAATTTGAGTTACTGAATTGCAAAATAATCAAGAGTTTGTAAAAATTTATATATAAATATACAGATTTTTAAATTTTTTATATAGTTTAAGGAGTCAAGAGGTTCTATATAGAGATATATAATGTTATTTATAAATGTATCTTTATTGAGATTATTTTATAGATAAATAATAGGATTTAATCAACTTATCAACAATCACTTCAAAGATATCACATTTTATTAAACACATTTTAGTAACAAATTTATTTTACAAATAATTAATTTATTAACAAGTTTATTTTATAGACAATATATATATTTATATTTTTTCTATATTGGTAGCCTTGCCAGTATTTTTATTAGATTAAAGCATATATATATACATATATTTAAACTATTTAAATTACAGATCTGATATTATTTAGTTGCCTTATCAGATGCCTAAATGCAGTTTATTGTACTGATTAAAGCATTGCCTATATTAGAGAGCTCCAGTGAAAGCATAATAAAATAGGCTCAATTTAAAAAAATTTTTATCAAGATTCTATTAACAATTAACTTCTTTAACTTTATTATTCTTATTATAATAATAATTTAAATCTACGGTTTGGGCCCTATAGCTTAGTGGTTAAGCTGCCAAACCTCCACAGACTAGGTTGACGGTTCAAGTTAGGCTGGAGGCAAAAATCTTAGGATTTTTCACTTCTGTAATCCAAAAAGGGAGCTATATTAAATGCAGAGCCCTGTGGCTAAGTCCAAGTGCAAGTACGAAACTGAAAAAGGAAATTCCCAGAAGGAGGTCTAATTATGGAGCGATAGCACTATGTATGGTACACGGCAATGATGTTGTGTGTCATAGAAGATTCTGTTATACAAGATTGCATAGATAAGTCCTCGATTAGGGGTGACCGGTGCAGCACCAACATCCTCAGCGGTTGGGGTACTTGATTGGAAACATGTTCGACGATAACAAAACTGAAGTAGTGAGAAAAGTGGTGAACACGAGGATAACTTGTAGTAAAGGATTGGTACATTCAGAATTAGAAGCACCTCTGGCATTCCGTACGATACCAGATTAAGAAAATGGATTACCTAAATAGAGAGAGATCGGTAGGCAACTTGGGGTACGCTTAAAACACGACAAAGAACGGCAAGGTTGTACCCAACTGGAAGTAGTAATATGAAATGTAACACTAGGAATACCAACATTAGTAAGCACCAAGGGGGGTTGAGATACCCTTAATTTAGAAGTAACCCTGTCATGAAAAACTCGGTTGGAAGTTTCGATGCCCAATTCTGTGATACACCAATTTGAGGAGTATCTGTTATCAAAACCTGCATGCATATAACCAACATTGTACAAAACTACAATACTAACATTGGAAGTAATCGTGAGGCTAAGATTGCTGAGTGCCCCTTAATGGGATCTGTAACAGATACCGCACTGAGTACCAAGCTAGAAGTATCCTGTTGTTAGTATGAGAAATATAGTGAATCTATGGGTAAGAAATTAATTGACTGGGATAGTACACAAAATCCAGGTTGGATATTAAGGCTCTGATAGGTTTAGGTCACGGATAAAGTAGTCTGAGTCTTGTATTCTGTAATTAGTCAATTAGCAAGTACATAAGTGAGCAACAAGGTTGTATAGTAGTGTATAAAC